TCGTGTGTGTGTGTGTGTGTGTGTGTTTGTTTGCATGCGTGTGTGTGTGTGTGTGTGTGTGTGTGTGTGTATGTGTGTGTGTGTGTGTGTGTTTTTGTGTGTTTGTTTTTGTGTGTGTGTGTGTGTGTTTGTGTGTGTGTGTGTGTGTGTTTGGGGTGTGTGTGTGTGTGTGTGTGTGTGTTTGGGGTGTGTGTGTGTGTGAGAGAGAGAAAGGTTCTTGGCAACGAGCTGTTGGGAGTATGCTGGACGTTACCTCTGTGGTAAGCATCTCAAGACATGAGCTCGCCAATAGAGCCATTGAAAAGGCGGACACCGCAGCCAGCAGGCGAACATCCCTTTATAAACTTATATCACACGTGCTACTAGATGTTGCTCGGCACCCGTTCACTGCTTGCCAAGACGATCTACTTGCCCAATAAGCCTCGCAGAGAGTTGTGGGAGCAGGACCAGGATGTTCGAAGACTCCCTGGGCCTATAGAGTCATCCTATAGAGGGTTCCCCACGGGCACTTAGTGGCTGTATCTTCGGGATATCATAGTTGGATATGTTTAAAAAAGCCGGGTCCCAGAGCAAGAACGTCGCCTAGGACCTGCAGCTTCTGAAGCTTTCGACTCAGCACAAAGGACCTGTCCGAAGGTTTAAGGGTTTGGCATGTAGGGTTTTGGGCTTGGGGTGGAGGGGTTTTAGGCTTACCGGATTTTGGCAAAGGACGTTCTGCCTTCTTTGGCTGTCTCAGTGAGCATACTTCTGGCGAAACCAGGTTGTGTGACTCTTGGTGTAGCAAGTTTGATATGAGTTTGGCGGGTTGCCGATCCAGGGATTGATAGTCAGGAAAGGATGCTGTCTAACAGCAAGTTAGGTTTTCAAACAACCTATGCGCACTCTGTGCGGAATTTGCAGGCCGAGTGCTTGGGACGCCAGGTGACCTCCACTTCTCGATAAATCCTGCGAAAATTGCAGTAATAACAGGATGCAGGGAAGTCCAAAAGAAGTCACCCCAAATATGCCCCAAGCTGTGAGGATACAACTGGGACCAGATCGCGACAAAGGCTTTCCTGACCCGAAGTCCCTGGCGTTGTTTCTGCATCCTGGCATGCAGTGATGGTGGGTGTCTTCTTCCAGTGGAGCGCAAACTGTTTAACGGCTGTCGGAATTAGAATCCTGCTATTTCGGATTCGATCTTTGCCCCCTATATTCCAAACTGTTTAAAGAAAAAGGCCCTTAAAGGAACCCGACCCTCAGAAACCCGAAACCCAGGACCCGAAGACCCCACACTTTGAACTGGACAGCTGATTCAGGCAGCCGGAAAGACCTACCTTTTTTAGGGTTCCTTTATTATGGTTTCTATATATCGTTACTTAAAAGGCTACAGTAGGTATTTTCGGTTACATGTAGGGCCGGGGTTAGGGTTTAGGGACTGATTTAGCTTTAGTACGGATCTTTGCCTGGGCTTGCTAGCAGGTTTGTGTGTGATACCTGGTTTTGCTGCATCAGCCGAAATTGAGTGCAGGGTCACCCCGCCTCGCCCGGAGTGTGGACCGAGTTGTTAGTGCCGAAACCTCAAGCCGACAATCCTGCGGTTTAGGGTTGAGCCCGAGGCCCAACCTCAAAGTAACCCTGAAGCCCTGAAACCCCCAAGGACATCCCTGAAGCAAAGCCCAAAGTTTGTTGCAGATTGTGGCGACTTTCGTTGCGGGACCCTAGCCCGAGCCGCGCTTACAAGCCTCAATGGTTTGTTTTGGGTCAAACAGGATTAAACTTAGGGCTATAGGGCTTCAGGGTTTAGGGCTTGGGTTTTAGAGTTTCGGGTTTTGCTATTTGGGATTGGAGGTTGCAGACACTGCAGCTGAGGGATCAGGGCAGTGTGCGCTGCAGCACCTGCAGCAGAAGAGTTTTGTAGTGTTTATCAGGGCTTCAAGAAACCCTAAACCCGCTTATGATGCAGGAGATAATCTCGAAGGCTAACTGTAGGTGCAATCTCGATACTGAGCGGGATCTGAGACCTGTCATGTGGAGAAAGAGCCACTGCACTTTAAACAAAAAAGACTTTGTAGGCCTTTAGGGTTTATCAGGGCTTCAGGGCTCCAGAAACTGTTAGTTTTAGGATTCTTTCTCAGGTTGCGCAATCCAACAATCTGGAGCGTCTGCGGTCCAAAGCATGAGCTCGAGTTTGAATGTGGGAGTTTTAGAGGAAAGCATCTCTTACGTAGACCATAAATCCACAGAGCAGGATCCTGCATATAGCCCTGGGTTCAGCACGTGCAATGCTCCCTGTTGCTCAGCCATGGACGTCCATTCATCCAGTTGAGCACAACGTACTGGTGCCTCGCCTCCTGCGAGAGAGATCGCAGGGATGCCGCAGGACAGCCTCAAACCTTTGCCTTTCAGTACCCATCGTTTTCATCCTAAGCAAGCCAAGTTGCTGTCGACAGCGGCAGCGGCGCGGGCGACCTTTGGCCGCGGCCAAGGAGAAGACACCAGAGCCCGAACGACCCCGCGACGCCTTTGCCAGAGTCTGTCGACGGCACAGTCTGGCTGCTCCTCTTGCGGCCAGCTTTGCCAGGGTTGCAAGGGCAGGGCCTGAAAGGGAAGGTGCAGACAGCTGGCGCGCTTTCCCTGCAGAGTTCTTGTGGGGCGTGGCAACGGCGGCGTTTCAGATTGAAGGTGCAGCCATTGAAGGCCGCGGGGCATCGATTTGGGACACCTTTTCCCATGTTCCGGGCAACACCTTTGAAGATGCCACGGCTGACGTTGCTTGCGACCATTTTCACCGTTATCAGGAGGACGTACAGCTTATCAAAAGGCTGGGAGCCCGAGCCTATCGATTCTCTATATCCTGGTCCAGAGTGCTTCCCAATGGTACATTAGATGGTGGCATCTCCGAGCCAGGCCTAGCATTTTATACTTCCTTGTGTCAGGATTTGATTGCCAACGGGATCGAGCCAATTGCCACTTTGTATCATTGGGATTTGCCTCAGGCTCTTGAGGACTCAGGAGGTTGGCTCAATCGAAAGACCGTAGATGCATTCCAAGACTACGCGCAGCTGTGTTTCTCCCGCCTTGGCCGTTACGTTAAGACATGGTGCTCTATAAACGAGCCCTGGACACAGTGTATTTTGGGCTACTGCTTTGGCTCACATGCGCCCGGACGAAGCATTGCTCCCGGTGAAGAACCTTACCTTGCAGGTCACCACATGCTGCTCGCGCATGCAGCCGCGGCCAAGGTTTACAGAGGGATGAAGCCGCCAGGGGGTCGATTGGCCATGGTCCTGAACACTGAGTGGCCGGAGGCACAGGAGCCCGAAAATCCGCAAGACATAAATGCCGTCGAGCGGTTCCTTGCCTTCAACATCGGCTGGTTTGCTGATCCTTTGTACACAGGCGACTACCCAGAGATAATGAAGAGCAGAGTAGGGGAGCGCCTGCCTAAGTTTTCGGAGGCAGAGAAGACAGCGCTACGGGGTTCCAACGACTTTTTTGCATTGAACTGCTATTCCTCGCGATATATTTGCGAGGACACTCCGTGGAGAAAGCTTCGCAACTCTCAGGCAACCCTGCGGACCCTGCCTTACATTTCCGATGTGGCAGTGGCGCGGATGAAAGCGGCCCTTTCGGGCGAGCAGAGCGGCACGACCTCCAGCGATTCAGAAGCAAAGTCCTCTTCAGCTTTGGGGGGTCCAGCCTCGCCGCCACCAGACAAGCCAGTACCGAGCAACAGCTGGATCACTGATGCTTCCTACGAGACGGCTGTGCCTTTGGATGTCGAACTGACAGCCACTGGGTGGCCTGTTGCGCATTTTGGACTGGGCCGCCTGCTCTTGTACCTCCAGCAAAGGTATCATCCTCCAGGTGGCATTTTGGTCACTGAAGCAGGTGCAGCATTCAAGGAGGCAAGCAGCTCGGAGAGGTCATCTGCAGCAGCTGATGCACACCAAGCCGCCTACCTGCAATCGCAAGCAGTTGTGTTGAGGCGTGCCATGCAAGAAGGTGCCGATGTCCGTGGCTACATCTGGTGGACTTTGATGGACAACTTTGAGTGGAGCTACGGCTACTCCAAGCGATTTGGGCTTTACGAAGTCGACTTTGCCGGCTCCCTTACACGTTCGCCGCGACCGGTTGCTGCAACTTTCCAGAAACTGGCCGAGCAGAACTGCGTCGCATCCACGGCCTCCGATCTTGATTTTGCTCGCTGCCTCGATCGTCCGGATGGCCTCGCATTCAGAAGCCAATCCCCATGAGAAGTTCGCACGTGTCGTGGCATGCATGCCTCTCTTTATATGTATGTATACATATAAACACACATAGGTACAGATACATGCATATATATATATATATACATAGACACGTATGTATGTATGTATGTATGTATGTATGTATGTATGTATGTATGTATGTGTGTATACATGAAATTATGCATACGCAAACGTACAATTGCACTTGGAGGAGACCGAACACATATGACTGGCATCAAAGCATGGTCCCGCCTGCTGCAGCTTGCTGACGAAAGATCCTTTGCGAGCTGTACCACCTTCGATTTCGGATTTCGGTTTCGCAGAAAATCCACCCAGGCCGATACCAGCAGTCGTTGCACAACACCATCCAGACGTCGTTCTGGAGCCGGCGGCTGGGCAACGAACTCTCGGAGTGGTTTGGTCCCGTCTCGAGTTTGGGTTTCGGGCCTAGGGTTCCTCGCTACCGTCGAGTTCAAGGTGCCCAACCCAAGATTGTGCAGCAGTGCAATGGCCGTAACGACAACCAACCAGAAGACGACAACGCACATCGTCGCAAGTCCCAGTGCGAACATCCTCCAGCATTGAGTTGACGACCCTTTCTCGCATGATGCGGGTAGTCGGTAGTGTTCGAAGTTTGCGCGTGCGTGTGTTTGTAATGTAGTGTAGTGTGGTGTCAAGCAGTACTATATCGTCTTGTGTCATGTTATGCTACTCCATGCTGAGTTTTACGCTGCTATGCTATGATATGTTGTTGTTGTACTGTGTGGGTTTTATTTTGAGCGATGTCGGATGTTATTCCATGCGAGGTTATGTTATGCTGTGTTGCGCTACGCTGTGTCATGTTGTTTGCTTGCCTGCCTGCCTGGATGGATGAATGGATATGTGTGTGTGTGTGTACGATGTATGTAGGCATGTAGGCACGTTCGTGAGCATGTATGTATGTATGTATGTATGTATGTATGTATGTATGTATGTATGTATGTATGTATGTAAGGAGTGCCAGTGCTAAGTATGGTCATGCTTGCTTGTCACTGTTTGTATGCTTGTATGCATGCACGTGTGCATGTGTGTGTGTGTGTGTCAGTTTTACATATGTAATTTGTACTGTACATAGTAACAGTATATATATATATATATGTGTGTGTGTGTGTGTGTTCACTTCGGCTTCTTTGGGCAGTAAGCTCAGGAGTTATCACCCAGTCTCGGACTTGCCAGATTCGCTACAGTTCTGCCCATCCGGTTTGCCCGAAGAAATGGCATGAAGCTCCGAGACCTCTAATTCCCTGCTGAGCTGCGTTTGTTCGAGGCAGGACATGCGAAAGTTCTTTGAGTATGCGGAGGAGATCGGCTATGCGGTCGACGGCGATGACAAGGAATGTTGAAATCTGTTCACTTGGGTTGGATGCAAAGCTTTGCCTGCTTCGAGGCTGGTGCCCGCATGGGCGAGAGGCTGTGGTTTGGACTGCTTTGCGGTTAAAGTTTTGTGTGGCCGTTAACAAGTTACTTTCACAAGCCACGTCAGTGCACAGATCAGATTAAACAGCAGAGGCCATTCGTCTTGGTTTCGGCAGCTGAAGCAAAGACACTAGTTAGTTAATGCATACAGTACCACATACGGCTGAAGATTGGTGAGACGATGACCGTGGCAAGAAGCCATTGCTGCGACGAGATTGGTGATGAGGATTTTTTGAAGATGCTGCTACTGCTGCTCATGAATATGAAGCAGAAGATGGGGATGATCACAATGGCAGGGGACGACCCGTGATACAGTGGTCATGTCTAGTTTCGCAGGCATTTGCGATACACTTTGCGTGTGCCCCTTCAGAGTTAAAATTGCCGGCTCTGGAGAAACGTCTCCGTCTAGGATGTTCTTGCTCCTCTGTCCCCCAAGAACAGTAGCGCATCTTCTGCCTGGACAAGTTAATTCAGCAAACAGTAGACAAGCTTTTGCATCTTCAGCAGCTAACAACACTCAAGGCGTAGGGGAGCATAACTCAATCTCAGCTCCCAGCTCTGCAAGTCCTGAAGTCCCAAAGCCCTCCGGCCACCGTTGCAGCCCAAGCCATCCTGGATGAAATCAACGATTTGCTGTCTATATGTAGTAATCACCTTCATTAACAATTCTAGCGCTAGGGGCGCCGTCCACCCAAAATCACCCAACTCTTTCGGCGCCCAAAGCAGGAGAGGTGCCAATGGTCCATTGTCAACGCCCGACTTGGTCCCGGTCGTACCACTCTTCAGTGCTCCAACCTTGTCAGGAAGACCCTCCATTGCAAGTGCCTTTAGGGTTTTTGTTGCGGATGTGGCTGCTCGCATATCCGGAACGTACGCACCCAGGATGCGTCAGAACACAGGTTGACACAAACACACCCCCACACGCACACACACGCGCAGAGACACACAGACGCCCACACTCGAACCCACGCACATACGCACACAGGGAAAGGTCGGAGTCAGGACACATTCTTACATTGTAGAGAACCAGTGGTTACGTAGGTAGGCTTCGGCCGACTTCCCAAGCTCGCATGCAAAAAAGGCTTGGAAAGCAGAGAAGAACGCAGATACGCACACGCACACAGAGATGCAGACGCGTACACCTGTAAATACTATACATATGCATGTATGCATATACATATGCACATGTATACTGCGCGCATGCATGCAGACCCTACACGGACGCAAATGGAGAGAACTACGTCTGCTCGCGTCATATGAAGATTGTGGGCCAACCTTGGGGTTGGCTTTCGCTTCTGCGGCCTTCACTGCCAGCTGAGGATAAAGGCAAAAGACACCCTGAGAGGCTCCCCGACCGCAAGGCTTGATGTGGTCGAAGCCCTTGTGGGCAGCGGAGGGTTCCGCGACGGTTTGTGGTTCATACGGAAAGTCGAGCTGGAAGTGCTTCGGACTCGGGACGCCAGCCCGAAAAAGACAGACCTGGCCGTCGTGATGGTAGCCGTTGGCGACTCTGTGCTGTTTGTGTGTCTTCACAGGCGGCTGCCTTGTGGGTTTTAGGTCCAAATTCAGGCCAGCACGGGTTGAGACAGGGCCGGAACACCATGTTTAGGCCATGAGAGCTGCATCGCTTTTGCCGCCACAGTTCGTCCCTGTGTGCTCTCAAGGAGATGCCCGTGGCACATATCACCAAGAGAGGGGTGCCTGGACGGAATTGCAGTGCAGATGTCTGACGGTGGCGATGTGCCTGGGCCGATGAAGCCATAAGTCATAAGGGTTGAGGAGCTCGGGTAGAACATTTTTCGGATGCGAGATTCGACGATGATTGTTGGCTTTGAAATTACGGTGTGATGTAAGTGTTCACACTAAAATCGGACACTGACGACATCTTGGCCCGGCATGCGACTATGTTGGTTGAATGTTCGAGGGTGCAACAAAGGCAAGGAGCAGACAGGTTCTTTAGGGGTTCACGTAAGGCCAAGCGTCTTTTGCACTCACCGGAGTCAGCATTGCCCGGCAAGCGAACAGCGCACAGCATAAGACCCGGAGGCAGAGTGTTTTTGATGTGGACAACAAGAGACGACGTGTCTGGTGGATGTTTTTCGAGATACCATAATTTTGCAACAGCGTCCTGCCTCGAGGCAAAGCCAAAGAAGCCACGAGAACAGGGACTGTTGACTGTTCTCGGCGCACACCCTCCACAGACTCCATGACTCGCAACACTTGTTTTCAAGCCGATCCCTCTAGTTTACGGTGGCGTCGTCCCGCCCGCGCCCCGAATCCGGATCCCGCCCGCATCCCGCGTTCCGGGTCCCGAAAGCTTGATAGTAAGCTTCCAAGCTCGGAAACCCTGAAACCTGAACTGCTACAGACCCCTATAAGTCATGGTAAGTCACGTTTGGGTCTGTCCATGGCGACCGAGCTCCGAAAGCACTACTTACTTTGCGTCTTCAAGGAGTTTGTTCATCGGGAGTGGTATCATGCTCTTGGAATCGCCGAGTTGGATCGTGAGACCAGAGAACCGCAGTACTAGCAAATGGCGCCCACCCTTTCCCAACGAGCACTCGCGGCGCCAACACTGAAACTTGACCACTGCCACCCCTTTCGATCCGAAGCACGTCTGGGGATTTGGGTTGTTCCACACGTCTGGCAGCTGGCGGCGGGCCTTGGATTTCGAGTGCGCCATAGCATTGCTCGCTCCGGCGATAGCACGCCGGTCCCTCGAGTTGGGCCCCACAATCCGTGAAGTTGGTTCGGCACCTAGTGTTCTGAGTTTCTGCCGCAGCCTTGCCTCATACGAAGAGGGAGGAACACATGGATACCCGCATCTTCCAGTCCACACACCTCGCAGAGCTTTTAAGCAAAATCTCACCGTCTCAGCCTGTCTCGTTCTGGATTCGGCCTGTCTTCAGATACATGTCCCAGAGCTGCCCCATGTGTTGTGTTCCGTAGCATTTCACTAGCCGGTCACGACCCTTGACAAAGTCGCTCTTGCGCTTGTTATGTGGTGCAGGTGCATCTTCGGTTGGGATTGCAACGAGCTTCCCGGCAGCACTTCAGCAGAAGTTGACTCGGACACCTGTTTTGCTACGGACTAGCCCCTATCATGTTTCCCGCCCTTTCAAAAGAGACAGCTCAGCATCTGAACTCTTCGGCGGTCCTGTAGCTGTTGCAACCGGAGCAACCTAAGCCCTATAAACCTTGCAAAAGTTCAAGTTGTGAGAGCCTAAAGCCTCAAATAGCCCGAAAAGCACGTAAAGCGATGGCCCACCACCTTTAAACAATGTGTATTCTACGTACTTTTGGGGTCCAGGCACACCCTAAACTTCTAAACCCCTTCTCGTCTGAGCTCAGGTTCAAAGTTGTGGCGCAGCACGTGCCAAATCGAATCGGTGTGGAAGTGGTGTCGCGGTGGAAGTTCTACCAGGACCTGATCTCCTAGACAGATGTTTTCGACCTGCAGCACTCTATACATACATACATATACATATATATATATATATATATATAGGTATATATATATATATATATCTGTATATATATATATATATATAGATAGCACTCTACCACTATAAGTACGGGTTATGTACTGTAAGGGTACAACGTGCAAGAACTGATGGCTGTCTTCTAAGACTAGACGCTCCTTTTGCGGGATCGCGAAATACCTTGACGTTGAATCAATATTAAGCTCATCTTGCGCACATCGCCCATCGCAGAATCGAAGCGTCAGGCACAAGTTTATAAACTCGATATACTACTGCGGATGATACTTGTCTTCGCCATGCGGCTCCTCCCAGTTCATGCATAGGTGGGCAAGAAATGAGCTGGAAGGTGCGGCTCCAAACTTCTTGTCTTGTCAGCCTTTGCCAAAGGACCCGCGCTTGCGCAGCTGGGATGCCGCAAAGATGTTCGTCGTTATTTCCTTTCCTCCGAGTTCTCTCTTGTTACATATCTTTCCGTGAGTGCGTATGTCTCTCTTGTTGCACTCTCCCTGTTGTACTTATTCTTTGTTGCTGGCTCTCTCTCTCTCTCTCTCCCTCCCTCCCTCCCTCCCTCTTCAAGACTGATGAGCTGGTTCGTCGTAACCCTCAAGGTTATGTTGTATTTTTTGCAGGCCGTCGTAAAGCTGCACTGTCAAAGATGGGGATGGTGAGCCGGTCTGCACCAGACTAGGCTCTTGTGTAGGAAGTTTAAGAGAAGCCAACTTTATTCTTTACAATCTACACATCCGACTATGGCAACTGGTACATCATTCCGTTCTCTGTAAACCAATAATGACAGCTTAATTTAAGATCCTTAGAAAGCCCATGCAGTGCCGGACTTGCACGTGCGATTGCCGACACTAACTTGTGCATAGGCTTCAGGGGTTTGGGTAAGCACATGCGACCACGATTTGTTAGTATCGATGCCCCTTTCCCCAGACCCTAAACCTGAGACGGAAAAGGGACGTTAAACAAAACAAGCAACCTTGTATCGATGCTTCAGAGCTGGACTCAGGCATGGGGCCTTTCAGCAAGGAAGAGGATCAGGCTCCCGAGTTTCTCTCAACGAGCCTGCATGATGAGGTATGCCTGTAGGCATTATGCATGTGGCCGCGAAATGCAAAGCATCATCCGCAAAAAAAGGCGTTTACATAACAAACGCGGGGCATATACTGTAGGACTTACAGCGAACATGCCATGATTCTGCAGGCGTACCCGTCCCAAGCCTATTAGCACACAACCCCGCAGCAGGAGAGGCAAGGCTCATTGAAATACGAGTACTACGATGACGACGACGACGAGTGCTGCTACTACAACTGCTACTACAATCAGTCAGTCAGTCAGTTAGTTAAGTTGGCTAGCTGGTTGGTTAGTTATTCGCTACTTGGTTAGTTAGATAGTGAGCTAGTTGTTAGTTGGTCAGTCAGTCAGTCAGTCAGTCAGCAAGTAGCAGTTTGCAGGTCGCAGGTAACAGGCAGGCGGCAGGCAGCAGCTAGCAGCAGCAGCAGGAGGAGGAGTAGTAGCAGTCGTAGTAGTGGTAGTGGTAGTAGTGGTGGTAGTAGGAGTAGTAGTAGTAGTAGTAGTAGTAGTAGTAGTAGCGGTAGTGGTAGTGGTAGTGGTAGTGGAAGTGGTAGTGGTAGTGGTAGTGGTGGTAGTGGTGGCAGTGGTGGTAGTGGTAGTGGTGGTAGTAGTGGTAGTAGTGGTGGTAGTGGTGGTAGTGGTGGTAGTCGTGGTGGTGGTAGCAGTAGCAGCAGCAGTAGTATTGCTAGTAGATTAGTAGAAGATTAGTACAAGTAGTAGCAGTTGTCGTGGCCGTAGTAGTAGTAGTAGTAGTAGTAGTAGTAGTAGTAGTGGTAACGGTAGTGGTAGTGGTAGTGGTAGTAGTCGTCGTCGTCGCCGCCGTCGCGGAGCAGTCGTTGACGTCGTCATACAATACTAGTAGTAGCCGTCGTCGTTGCGGTGGTGGTGTCGGCAGCGCACTGATAAGTATAGTGGTCGTAGTCACCTCCACAGTGGGCGACTGCTACCACAATCCATGCATCCATGACAAGGGCTCCTGTTGCTATGGCCACTATGACTACAACTGCAAAAACGGCATTCTGACATCCCTGTTATGAGCTATGCTATGGCTCGGACGTGGTTGCACACTGGCTGCAACTGTTGGACATGGAGGCCCAAGCCACTCCACAGTGAATGCAACATCAACCCTAAGGCTCCATGTGCCCATATAGTAGATACTTAGGCCTTAAAGTACCTATATAGGGACCCCTTTAAGGCCTAAGTATCTACTATAAAGGTACATGGAGCCTTTGGGCAAGTCACCAAGTCGGGAAGTCCATCTTCTGCGTCCAATCCTCACGGCAGGGGCCACGTACATCACACGAACTAAACCATGCACATGCCTCTCTCTCTCTCTCTCTATATATATATATATATATATAGATATATATATATATATGCATGTATGGATAATCTATGGATGTGTATATGTATATAAATTTCAACACGTATAATTAAGTGTGGGTGTATGCATGTATACAAATAAGGATGCATGTATGTGGACATGTGTATATCTATTTATATATATATATATATGTATGTATGTGTGTTTGTCGAAGTGCGTCCGGATATTTGTCCGGGATGCATAGAAAGGGGCTACGAGTAGAACAGAGAACACCGTGATAAACTTGCTGAGTTTGTTTCGACGGTTTAGGCCAGATCATCCGCAATCAAGGTACGATGGACCTAAGAAGCTCCGCGACAGCCGTCTTTGAACTTCGACCTCCAACAGCGAAACTTCCCATCCAACTTACCGGCATACCTCTGGTGTTCTGGGCTTTTGAGAGGATGCTGAAGCGTTGTACGGGCGGCTTTTTCGGTCTCATAGGCTTTTATAAGGGTCTCTCCGCTCTCTGCCCACAAGGCCAAGGTTCCACGAACTCTTCGAAGGAGATATCACCGTCACCTGCGGCGCGGATAGCTACGCACGTGCGGGACATTTTCGTGGGTGGCTCATTCTTGCAACAATGGAAAGTAGCAAAAACAAGACCGCACAGAAATCACAAGATTGCTCAGAATAAGCCAGAAGAGTGCAAAAAGAGGGAGGTCGGATTGTGCAGAGTATACGTATACTTTGATGTTCATGGATAGCACCGCGAATCCCAGCTTTGAACCGAGTCGCCATTGACATCAGCCTCCACCCAGTATCGGTCGAGCATCTGCTGAGAGATGTCTTCCTGGGTTCACTAAACTGCGTGCATCGGCTGTTAAAGCTTCATAATATAAGATAATTACCAATACTATTTGATTTGGGGGGGTCTCTATTGTAATTATGGTATAAAATACCACAAAATCCTATTCTAATTATTAAGGCCCCTATATTATGCATCTGACGGAGCCGCCTCATCGGACGGGCCAGCGCGCTAGTTCAAACCCTGACATCGAAACTGCTTAAGTACCCCGTACGGTAACCCTTAAAGCACCCTCCTTATAGTCACCCCTTACAGTACGGTTCCAAAACAAAACATGTGCATTGTTCAGACATGGCTCCGCATTCGCATGCAGCAAGCAGCACAAGACATCTTTGAACCTGACTGGCAGTGCGGCTGCTTCACATAAGGGTTTAAGGTTTAGGGTTTAGGCGTTGGGGTGCGGTTTTGATTCATTTAGATTGGGAATCAGACCTTGGGCTTGGGGTTTGAGAACCAGATCATAGTGCGCAGCACCGGATCATACATGCTCGCATTGCTGCTGGCAAGGTAGACAACGCTCCCCTACTACAATGGATGCTATGCCGGAACATTTTAGGGGGATACCAGCAGGGAGTTTTGTTGTTTGGGCCAATGTTGTCGCGGAGATTGCTGGAGACAATCTCTTGCTCCTCGTCGTCGTCGCGATATGCTAGGGCCTATAGGGCTTAGGAGATACAGATGTGAACCATGCATCTGAAGCCCAGAAGGTCTCAATGCACGCTGTTGCAGTAGGAGTAGTCGTCGCAGTCGTCGTCGTCGTCGTCGTCGTCGTCGTCGTCGTCGTCGTAGTAGTAGTAGTAGTAGTAGTAGTACTAGTAGTGGTAGCCATAGTAGTAGCAGTCGTCGTAGTAGTCGTAGCCGTGGTCGTAGTCGTAGCAGTCGTAGTAGTCGTGGTAGTCGTAG